ACTACCGTTTTTGTATTTTTCAAATTTCCAGCTGAAAGCCCACCCACCCAGAGGCTGTTACAGCAGTCTCTATACCAGATCCTTTGCAATAGACATCGTCGTAGTGATCGAGTCAAAGACAATAAATAGCAATTCGTAGGAGAAACTTCTCCAAGTGGCAGGGGCTCTGTAACGGCCTCAGTTTCCATTCACATATCTTAATTTGATATGAACGAACGGGAGCTGGTTTTTGTCGAGCCCCAGTCGGAACGAAATTCCTGGAGTAATGCAGAATGCATTCCTCTCTTCGCATCTCACTAAAAGGACATCTTTATTGAACGTATGAAAATGGAATGAAACGCATTCCTCATAGAAAGCCGCTTGTCGCACGATTCAACTCCCTGCAGACATCGAGTGTGAAGGTCCAAGCTGTCTCTATCGAATGGCCGATTCGTGCCATCGACTTGTAACGACGCAGTTTCCGCGAATGCACAAAGGCTATCATAAAAAGCTGCATGTCCTCACTGCGGAAAACTCGAGGGAAGCTTCGAGAGACCACTACCAGGTATTGTAATATTTAAAAAAAATGGCGCAAAATGAAATTTTCTCTCTGTCTTTCGGGGGGAGAAGAAGAAGAGGGGAGAAAAGAAGGGGGAAAAAGATACGATTATTCGTGTTGTGAGAGAGAAGAGAAGCCAGGAGACGAGGCATGCCCCGCGACGACACGCGAGAGACTCCTCTGACTGCACAGGCAAAATAATGCTGTGAAATACCCGGTCCGCATTTTCGCACAAAACTCTCTGCCGAGATACAAAGTGAGGCATGCCACTTTGCCAAATCTCTTCACTCGATTCTTGATGGTTTCCGAAATTTTTGAAGCATACAGTCATCCATTTATGAGGATGGGTGAATGGAATCTTCCCCATTTGCCGAGACGCAGAGAGGAAACGAAAATATCCGCCCCGTGCAATAAATCTTCCCTAGTAAAAAGTTGGACACCATTACAACGGCTCACTCCAGATCCGCCTCGATCTCCAAGCTTCTATCCGGATTCCTTAGGATGAGGAAAGAACCTCATTTCTCATGTGACGAGCCGTTAAACGAGACAAATTTCGTCCTATCTGTTTCCGCAAGGGAGAAAATCATGAAATCTGAACTCACGTCATACGGTCATGGTTCCTCGGGGAAATAATGTTCCTCGAAGAAAGAGGTTCATTTCGTCTCATTTATTTCTCGTTACTTTGAGGTTCGATCCTAAGGGGGACAGGATCGATGAGTCCATAATTAATCACTCTTCCTAGAAGTTCTGGATGAACCACAGGAGTGATACTCTCTCACGAATGGAACCCATGTCCAACATTTCATCTTTCCGAATTTCCCAAAGGAAATCCTTTCTCTTCGAGCTCACGGAATAATTTTCGGTCTCTATTCGAATATCGAGAGAAAGCGAGTGTGACTTGAACCTCAGCTCGAAGTAGAAACTTCAAGGAGAGGTTCCCATAATTTATTCAGGAAATGGAGTGAGGGCCACGATCCTAATGGAGCCGACGAGACCATTGCTCGTACGGCTTCAATTATGAACCGTCCTTCCTCCTCTGTCCGAAAACCGGAAGACGGTCGTTCGGACCCTCCATCCGTCGGCGTCGGTCATTCACGACTTCCTCGATTCTTCCAATCCCCCAAGTCACGAAGCGTTCGTGGTAACATCGACGAAACCTCACATCGAATAAAAAGTAAACGCCGACGAGCAGGACTTTTTCGATTCCAATTCCATGCCTCCTCGAACGGGTCGATTTTACGGTGATTCCGCGCATCGGAGAAGCCATCGCGTCTGCATAAAACGCTAAACTCCACTTTAACGAGAAACGACGATGGATAGTCCCAACGCTTCCATTCAAAAACGCATCAGGTTCGTCCTTCGTTTCTCTTTCAGCGATCCACGAGTTGTTCGAGTGCCAGGACATCGTTCCCAATCACCCACCCTATGATCTATCTGCCTTCCGGGAGTATCGGATACGCATCGGTTCACCTCGTCTGCTCGGAAGAGAATCCGCAGGAATCTCCGATTTCCAGGATGGATTCATTCGCGGGATCGAAGATCCTCAAAGCGCGCCAAATTGTAACCATACTGGAGTTCGACCGACGGAAATACGGACGGTTTGAAAAAGAAAATAAACGGTCGCAGAAGAACTTGAGCCTGGCAGTCGAAGCGGAATCAGCCCTTCCCTTATCGGATTCCGAGTTTCAAGCACTCTAATCGGGATTAAGACTCGATCGAACGGTTTTTTTCCATTGGGGCAGATTTTGAAGGACCCAGAGGGCAGATCCTAAACGATCGAGGAGGCGTGCCGTGTCCGAGATGCGAAAAAGAAGCAAGTTTGGATGACCCATAGAGGAATGAAGAGGCGAATGATTCCATCTCCCTTCCGTTGACTTTTCCCCGAGCGAACTTTTCTCAGATCGGTCTAATCCCAGGAACGTTTCTTCCTCGAAAGGAGACAACCCCGAGGGGCTTTTCCCTGACGGTAGGGTCGATTCCTCGAAGGAAAAAGGAAATCCCAACGGCGAATTCCCCCTTCGTTGGGAAACAACGAAGCATTCCACTCGACTGACACGAGAGTACGGAGAATTACTGGGTTACTTCGAGGACACGTAGGCTTACGTGGGAAGAATGAGGAGAAATCGCAGGAAGGTCCCTCTTTTACGCATCATCTGGTGCGACCATGAACTTGTGATGAACGATCTTCCCGTGAAACAAATCCCGTAAGGGTTGACATTTTGCTTTCGGCTTGGCTTCCTGGGAAAGCCATCTCAATCTCTTCGAGTTCATCGATGTTCTCGAGAGGGAGCAGATTTTGAATGAAGATTGCTCCGACTCCTTGCTGGAGGCGCTCCACCTCACAGGCAAATATTGCAACCTGGGCCTTAAAATTAAGACCTCGGTTCGGCGATATCGTGGAGGGGCAGATAGATCGTACTAACTCCCTTCGAGATGTGTTGCATAACGTGTGTTACTGAGGTTGGTTGACGGATGTGATGCATAGAAGGTGCATGTGTTTCACATATTTGCGGGACAGATTTTGACAGATTTCATTTTCTTGTCGAATACTGACTGAAGAATGAAGAAAACTGATGGCTGACTGCTTACTTTTCGGGTGAATATTCGCCGGAAAGCGTCTGGCGGGAATAATTCCATCGGAGAAATTACTGGTTGAATTTCTGAGTCCCTAATTTGTTTACGGCGGTTAATAAGTGTCTTAGAAAGACATGCAGGCCAAAATGCCTCAATGCCATTAACAAGACTAAAACGATGAGTCTCACACCACGCCCCTATATCAGAACACAGCTACGACCGTCTTATATTGACGAGCGCCTCGAAGCAGTGAGAAAATTCACATACCTCGGAATTATTTTCGATGAAAGGGAGACGTGAAGTTACTTATAATCGAGAAGGCAAGAGTGGCCCTTGAATGCTCTACAGTCGGTTCTGAGAAAGCCCCTATTATACCCAATTACAGAGGCTATGCACGAGGTCCTGGAGATTTCCACGTTCTCATATGGAGCAGAGTCGGTCTATAGAAGGGATTTTCTTCTACTTTCCTTTTTAACAGCAATCATTTTAAAGGGATTACTGGCAATGCCTGAGTCCTACCAATGTGCCACTCTGTTCACAGCCTTTCCGGCATGATTTATAAGGGCCTCAGTCTTCCAGAGAGTTTTACATTCGTAGCTCCTTTTGCAGAAGCACCCTGAAGATACTCTCATAGGAGCTGCTGTCTTCAAGAAGCAACAAGCCCTGTTAAGCAGGGGACAAGTATTCAAGGAGCAGTAAGCCCTGTTAAGCAGGGGACAAACTGCCCTGCTGAAAGAGTTTCGTCATAGGTGCAGAAACACACGGATACTCTTATGTAAGGGATTTTGGTCTCCAGCCCGAGTCAAAGATTCCAAAAATTCCCCGAGGCCGAGTCGTGGAAGTAGGCATGAGAGGAGCAAATAGCCGCTCAATACTATCATGCCTCCTCATTCACGTTTACTCATTTTTCAAACTTTTGGCTTTGACTCTGTAGGCCCACTTGCTGTGGGTGTCATGTCGTCATCATTGCCACGTCTGAAATAAGTTACAATTTCCCCTTATTAAAGAAAATGTGAACCTGCTGGCATGACACTTGTCGCCTTCCCATAGACCCTTTATCTATTTGTCGATTGAGTGCCTTGGCATGTCCAGGAACGAATCTTTCGTTTGTGCGATTCCTCTCTCGCATGTATGAGGCACGAAAGAGACCCGTCGAAAAAGATATGACGTTCATGCCGAAGACCGCAGAGATCTTGCCATCGTTGGCAGAATCTGATTTTTTATTTTCCCCATTGATTTCGATGAGAAAATCTCTTTGGGCTTTTGACGTCCAACCGAACCAACACTCACGTCGTGCTTAAAACGCCTCTCAAGAAGGTCGTGCCGAGAACTTCGTCGAGGGAGACAACTTTCCTTTCATTAGGCCTAAAAGGGAAGTGGGAATGGGATGCATATACTCCCTAACCACGCAACTCGCGAGAGATTCATCTTCCCGATGGAGCCTTTCATGCAGGAAGCGCCCTTCCGGCGAGACTCAATGGAACGGAGCCACACACCATCCGGCATTTGCCACGGATCCATTCCGCATCGCCCTGGATCTATTCGGCATCCCCGCGGATCCTAACTCCTATTCATCATCCCCTATCTCCGATCGCTTCTTGTCTTCTCGTCTTTCTTTCGAGGACTTCTGTTCTTTTCGCATCTTCAACGTCGGGGAAATTTCGCTTGCGATCGTTCCAATTTTTCCACGATTAAGCAATCCCGCTTAATTTCCATTTTCGATTTCCGTTGATTGCATTCAATTTACATTTTCATTTTCGATTCCACATTTTTCGTTTTCCCTTCTTAGGAAGCCCATGCCTATCTTCGCGATGCCGATCTTTCCCTTAACGATTCGGTTTCGTTCTAGTGCCTGTTCCGAATGAATGAGCAGGGGGGAGGAGCTGACCGATGAGTAGGCAGAGCATGTCGGCCACGGCTAGGTTGAAGAGGTAGAAGTTGGTGGCGGTGTGCATGTAGCTCCGCCTGGCGATCACGATGCACGTGCACACGTTCCCCACGATCCCCGTGAGGAAGAGGATGACGTAGATGACCGTGATGGGGAGGAGGCTGTGCAACGGGAGGGTCTTGGGACCCAACATGCACTCGAGGAACTCGTGCCAGAAATCCGCATCACCACTCGCATTCCGTGCGACACGTAAGCAGTACTCGTGATCGGTGACGTTGAGGTCTTGGGGATCCATGCTGAATGACCGTCGATCGCGGCGCTCGGCGGGCTTTCCTCGTCTCCCAGGGCATGCGGCCTATCTCTCGACCGTCTTCGCGCATCCTTCGCCCGCAGAGGAAAGGATGCCCGAATCCGCGGCCTTCGTCTTCCATTCCCGATCCCACTCTCCAATCTCCGCCTGCCGATACGGAATCCAATAAGAAACTCTGGATCTGGGCTCTTCCAGATTCCGGCCTCGCATCTCTTACAGTTCTCAACCTAATCAAAGTGCACATCGGCCTGCACTTTCATGCACTGCACGTTCCGAAGGAAACTACTTGGATTCGACGGGACGCTGCTTTACGGTACTAATCATCTTGGAATCTCATCCTTCCTCAGACGACTTTCCATCTTCGTGGCTTACTTTTGTGCTCTCTCGTGAAAACGGTAACCGAAGCGCCGAAAGGAAAACTGGTCTTGCAAAAAATGTCAACGAAAGGCATGGTTGATTTAATGTACATACATCCCCTTTCCTTTGAAGGAAGGTAATCGTTTGTTGGATTTATGTAAAAGAAAACTTGTTCCTTCTTTTCCTCGTTTTAGAGAAGACGATCTCTAGAATATTAACTCTTTCCCTCTGGAACTTGAGAAAATAATGTTTGCAGAGAGATATTTTCTCCTTTCGGCACTTTAATTACTTTGGAAGCGGTGAAAGTGCTTGCTCGAGGTTTCCGATTCTCCTCGTTCCGAAAGGAAACGCGGATCGCAAAAAACTACGGAACCGATTTGGAGAAATGAGACCCAGGTAATTTTTCCCTCTGTGCAGGAGTGTGCAGTCTGAGATCCTCACTTCTCGTCTAGCAAGCCTACTGAAAGGCTCGAAAAGAACCTATGATCCAAAACAAGATCGAGGAAGAGGAAAAGCTACCCGGTCGATTTCGATGAGTGAAGGTATCGATGGACTCTCTTTAAAGTCTCGGTACCTGATATCCAAAGCGGCGAACATGAACTGCGGAATCGATCTCGACAAGTGAGATCGAGATTGACTCCGACGGTGGGTATGCCGCATGGGAGTGTCTAGTACGGAAATATAGTCAGTGGTGTCTGAAACCGAACATACTATTTTAGGTGTCACTCGTGAAACATTCACGATTTTCTGATCGAGGCTAAATCTATTCAATCCCATACCGTTCAAATGAGACACCATCGAAACTGAGAACCATGTGTCGGATTTTAAAATTGAGATGCAAGCCGTTACCCCCCCCCCCCCCCCCCTTCACCCCCATTCCCCCATCCCATTTCCCTAACTGCGATATTTGCTCGAGTTCTATTCCGTAGCATTCCAATGAGATCCACCGTTCGAACAACGAAATCCCAAGTATCGGATGATGAATCGGATGATGATGCTTCCCGTCGTCAGAGCCCCTACCCGTCACCCAGTATTCTCTTCGTTCGACGAATTTCACGGAGTTCCGTCCTTAAGCATTCAAATGGAACACACCACTCGAATCCGGAACACCAATTGAAAAAATTGAAGGTGCGTCCCCCTCGTCAGAATCCCCGAGTACTGCGGCTTAGAGATGGGCACGCACGAGCTGCAGGTAGCCCCGATCGATCCGACCCGACCCGATCGGGCCGTGAAGTTTTGTCGGCAGTCGGGTCGAAGGGACCGCGCGGACCGAGACTCCAATCACACCGATCGGATCGGGTTCGATAGTAGCGGCTCGAACAGGCCTCTGAGGAGCTCACAAGCAGATAGACAGACAAACGCCTACGCGATCCCATGCGATTTTCGCATGGATAAGTACTGATTAGTACTTAGAATTGAAATTTCCTCGTGCGGTAAATGACTAAGCAGCAATAGAGGGATTCGGAAATGAGAGGCACTAAATGAACTTCTCTCGTCTTCGCACTTTTCTCTTGGGGTTTCCAAGCATTGCAAAAGTTTTGGTAGCATTTAAAATTCAAGTATCGAACCTTTCAGAAAAAAGAAAAACAGATATTAACAAATGAAGTATATCTGGACACGTCCTAACGAATGAGTGTCCACTTCTGGGATGTCGAGGGTGTCTAAGATCGAGAGACGACGGAATATGCTGAATAGTCCTCAGAATTGAACAAAAATTTCTGCACGAGAAGAAAAAGCACTGGTCCGAACGAGTGAAGCACCACTCCTCTGCTCTTCGTTTGAATCGTTTTACCTTTTACGTGTCTAGACCAATTACTGAGCCAGTGCGAGAAGTACTGAAAAATGCATTCTGTAAGAAAATTAATTAATCTGACAGAAAGGGAAAGTTTTCGTTCTGCTCAGAACAATGACGGTACTCATTTACCCACATGGCAGAGCAACATTGTATAGACGTTAAATATACGTCGATGTATCGACCTGGAAACGTCGAGGAAACGTTGAGAGCAGAGGTGGAAAAAGTTCTGTAACATGGTAACCAGGTTACCGGGAAGGATAGCGACCGACCGAGAAGGCAAGGCAGAAAGAATAAATAAATAAACAGCAGATAGAAAGGCGAGTGGGAAAGAAGGAAATGTTGCGAGAAGAAAGAACGGGAAGACAAAAGACGGTGGGAGTGTTCGGGATGCGGTATGGTAATGGATTGAAGAAAAGTAAATGTCGACTGACTGCGAAAAGATGAAGCTCCCGAGAGGCATCGGGAAGTTGATATCGGCGGCACGGGAAGATTAAGCACCTGAGCGGAATCGGAAAGATATTCCCATGCGACCGATATTAGAAGTTCAGGGACGAGGAGAACGATATTTTCCTCCCGTGCCGAGCGCGTTGACGGAAAGATCTCGGTATTGCGTATTTCCTCAATCCTTGTTGTAGGATTTCGCCCTAATGAGAATAAACGGTGACGTGTGGGGACATAGATCAAATTCTCCTGACCGTAAAATAGAGGCGGCCTTGACATCGGTATGAAAATGGGGTTATAATTTTGAATGCTATTTCAAGAGGTGAGAGAAACTGATCATCGAATTAGACAGCGTCTTGCGCCTCCGAAACCCCTTCCTTTTCTCTTTAACCAATCGGTCGACAGTCTGCCTCGCGTCACCTGACTTCCCGCCGACAGATTAATAATAATAATATCGATACCCTTCGCGCCATTTTCAAGCGACCTTATTTGGCCTCGGGGTCGAAAGAATACATTGATCTCCATCCCCCATCGGAGCACCCTCCAATTTCATCCCGCTCTCTCGATTCCGCACCTCACGCACGTGGCTCTATGCCAGACCTCCTGGTACGTAGCAATTCGTATGTACTGTCAACTCGTACGCATCCTGTCGCTGAGTCGGTGTCTAGCGACGGAGTGCCGTAATTGAACCCTTAAACCCTTCGGCAAGCCAAAGAGCTCATAGTTCAAGCTCTTGATCTCCATTTTGGAGGAAGAAGTAGCTTGCATTTTTTGCGAAGAACGCAGCAAGCATACACGTTGAAGTTATTAGGTGTTTCAGAGGTCGTTGACCGACTGAATAGACAGAGGGGAGGCCTGAAGTATGAATTCAATAAAATTAAGATTCCAGCTTAGAAATGAAAATATTGATTGAAGTGTTTCTCTGCAGAATAACCTTTAGAGACCCTTTCAAAGGACATATCTTCAATTTATTAAATGCCAAGGGCTTCTGAATGACTGCACCTCTGTGCACTCCCCATTAGATCCTGCTAGGGGCCTACAAATAGGCGTTTTCATTGAATCAGAAGTGGTGGCTTAAATTTATTTCTTGCCAAGCATCCCCCCCCCCCCTCCATTCGTCCAGGCTCAGCCCCCAAACACAAGGTCACTTCACGCACCTGCTAAACTGGGAAGGTAAACTATGGTTACCGGAAAGCAGAAGAACGTTTTCCACTTCTGGTTGAGAGTATATGTAGGCTCCACGTGGAAATGGGTATATCATCTCTGTAGATTAAACGTAGATTTGGCTGTTACTTTTTGTTACGTCTTCTCCCTTCGTAGAGATTCGCAAGCAATACAATCCAAATTAAAAAATCTCCAACAAAAGATATTTACTACTTCTGCTAATTTAGACGAATTCTCTTCATAGTAATATTTCCAGAATGTTATTAAAAATGAGCTGCAAGAAAAAGAAGCCACATTTTGCTAACAGTCCTGAGACCTAGAAGCATTTGGGTCTCAGCAAAAACAATGATCACATTTTATAACTTAAAAGTAGATACGTTAGGTTTGACTTTCGAAGATAGAGAGCACAGAAACTTTAAGGTCTATCAAAATCTTGCAATTTTTTAATTGCATCTTCTTAGATCTAAAGAGTGTCGACAGATTACAGGTTTCAAGTAGGTCTTGACACAAGAATGGGGCACCCATTATAATGTGCCTGTCTGTGGAGTTCTGAAAATTTTCAACTCAACTGACCCATTAAACTGCCTCTTATTCTTATTTAAACTTTCTTCCTAAGTTTTGCGAAAATAAGCATTTGAACTTGATGCCAGAGAAATTAACTGGGTCCGAGGAAAAACTATTGACTCAATAAACCTTCAAGGAAATGGTTATCAATTCATTTGCTCTACAGACGTTCAGCATGTATTTTCTATGAAGGTGGCAGCTGCTGGTCGAACGTATCATTAAATAACATACACTAATCGATGAAGCCAATGTTGGCATTCATGGTTCCTGAAGTCTCATGGGAAGCAATAGGCCTATCTAAAATTAAAGTAGCTTGGCTATTGCTCAAAAGCCTGTAAGCTAGGCTGCAGGTAATCCAGCTAATAATGTCATAGTGTCCGTGAAAGGATGGGAGACCTCTTTATGTTGAACTGCAGGGAAGGATAAGGCTTAGTCCCGAGAATAAGCAATAGATGTCTTTATGTATAAACATTTTGAGTCGAGGCTTACCGACAGCGAAAGTGATCGGTTCTTAAAGAAAGCATGGAGGTCTACCCTTGACGTCAATACCGAGAGGCCTTAAACTTAAATAGGACAAAGGATCCCAAGGATTCCGCATAATTCAGCACGAAGTAGGCTAGCGCAACGAATTGTAATCAAGGACTCAGAGAACAGTATATAGACCTGCATCGCAAAAGTTGAAGCCTCCGTCACGTGCGTGGAGGCCATGACAGCATTACCCTTGCCATCTACCTTTCCACCCTAGTTCCATGTCGAATCGACGTATATGTGCCACATGGTTACGCTATTAGTTTCATGCAACGAAATTTACGAGTGAATATAAAG